ATATGAGACGAACCGCATTCTCATGCCTCTGCGGATAGCGGCCAGTCGTGACTCCACCCATTTCGCGCCTTCAGCAACATCTAAGCCATCGTTCAAATGATCGAGCCAAGTACGAATCGAGCTCATGTGTAAAGAAAGGGGGGTATGGTACACTAGAATAGGAAGCGCCAGCGATGGCGACTTGGATGCAAGAAGAGTGACAGCGGGACACAACCCCTGGCTTTTTCTCTGAGACGAAAAGGTTCTACAAGCGGGCGAAGCGAGTTGGAGTAGGCTCTCGCTCCCGTCTCCGAAGCCGCACCTGGCATCAGACGATCAAGCCCAGCGACCAAGAAGGGCCATCAGGCCAGCGCCGAGCAGCATGGTGAAGATATTGAAGAGCAGCCTTCCCATCGGCAGGGTCCTAAACTTGTCGTTCATGATCATGTCGTGAGCCAAGCAGTGCACCATACCGGTGTAGATCAAAATTCCTGCAGAGAAGCTGTCGAAGATGCCCGTCACGTAGTTGGCGCGAGCGCTGTCTTCATTGTAGCTCGTGCGCACGCCCAGTCCAATGGCCAGACCGATGGGCGTCACCAAAGCGTACGCAATGCAGCCGATGTATGGGATCAGCGACTTTCTAGAGATGGGCAAAGTGGCGAGTCGAGATCCGAGACCAAGACCTTCAAACATCTGGTGGAAGATGATGACAATAAAGAGGATAGTGAAGTCTGAAGTGGTGCCGAGGGTAATGCCGATGATGACAGAGTCTGTGGGAGCAACACCGGCGATGCAAGTCAGTGATGGATCGGCGTCGGGCGAGCGACTGCAAAAACTCACGGAAAATGACACCGAACTCGAGGATGAGTACGCCAAGGATCTGAGACGCAGCAGCAGACAAGGGGGCGTCCTTGTCAAGAACGGCCACCTCCTCAATGTCAGAGCCGAGACCAACGTCTTTGGGCTGGTGCGTCTTCTCCACGTCGCTCGATCCCGAAAGAGGCTCTGTGACGTTGGGTGGGACGGTACCGTGCTCTGCAGGATGATGGTGACCGCCGGCATGGCCATTGTACGCAAGCTGTTCCGCCTTTTTGGAGCCGAAACGGAAGGCCATGATCTCGACGAAGAAGGTCATGCTGAGGAGTGCGATGGATTCAAAAAAGAAGAAAAGGGTCAGCAAGCACCACACACGCGTGCCGCCTGAAAGCTACCGCGACGAACTCACAAAGCGGCAATCATGGCAAAGGCAAAGCTGAACGGGTACACTTGAAAGTTTGCGTTCAAGCAAGGGCTAGTGAGCTCTTCGGTGCCAGGTGCCAACAAGTGGATGAAGGAGGTAGCGATGATAACGCCAGAGCCAAAGTATCTGGCAAAGTCAAAGACACTGTCGGGCACGTGGGCTCTTGGCAATCTCCTGGTGATGACCGGGAAGAGGGTGGTGGCGGCAGAGGTGACGAGGATGATGAAGATGGCACCGATGCGAAGACCGATGGATCCCTCAAAGGGCTCCTCCCGGTTTGGACTACAGTTGACCGGGTCTTCCATACTGTCTCGACGCAAGGTGGGTGATGAGGATGGGATTGGGCGCGTCGTTTGCGGTCTACAGCCGAATACGGGAGGGGAAGGGGGGAAATGCTGTTCGGATGATTGGGTGGATTGGGAAGAGGGTTAGGGCTATCGGTCAGACGAGGTATTTGTACGCTTTGCAAGACTCGCGAGGCTGGATGTCTCTTGACCCATCAGCCTGGCAGATTTGAACGGCGGGAGAGGGCCAAATGGGCGAGGGAGGTGCATTGAGTGCTCTGTGGCCTGCATCAGCAAGGCGTCGCGAACACCTCTCTCCCTCTCTCTCTCACCTCGCGCGGCATCGTGTATGCGCGAGGGCACACATCGCATCGGTGCTGATGCCGCAGGCACCGACGGTACAAGATGTCGTTGCAGCAGACACCTCACTTGCCCAT